TGATTATGCATTGTTTCACAAGTTATTTCCTTTGGGGTGCATTTCTAAATTTATTGAATTATTTATGTATAAATATTTCACGATATATTTTTGGATGAAGTGTGTACTCTAGCTAGCTTCTACTTATAGAATGGCATAGATCCTCTTACCCAAAATTTCCATTCCCATGTATTAACAGCACTCTCAATCACATAATTGTGTCTTGAGTTTTCTGTATTTTGAGATTCTTGACATATCATATGGTTGATTGTTCATTAAGTACAAGGATCATGAGATTTTGGGTATAGAGAATCTCTAACTTCATGGCAATACTACTATATGAATCATGTGAACATAAGGTAGGATTAGAAAAATTCCAGTAACAATCATGTATTTTTTGGGGCGAATTATATTAATGATTCCTTTAATTTGGGACTTGTGTTACTTTAATTCCTAATATTTTAATTGTGATATATTTGACTCTTAGTTTTGAATCTCATTCCAAATAAAAATAATTGAAGATACTGTTTCCTTTGCAAACAAAAAAAATGCTTCATTTCAAGGGCAAATTCATCAATTTGATGAAATATAAACTAATTTGACAAAAATAAATGTCAAAAAGTCAATTTTGAATTTTTAAAAATTATTTCTACCCACCAAAACATAAAATTATATAATAATAATAAATCTTTTACATTTTTATATTTTTACCCAATTAATTTTTAGTATGCGTTTGAATGATGATCATGTAATGGGTGATTGTTTTTATTGATGTTTTTGGATAATTATCATGTAATAGATGGTTGTTTTTGTTGTTAACAAATATTTTTGGATGGTCATAATGAAATGAATGATTATTAGGCTTTTAATGTATAATTGATATGTTTAATATATGAAAGGTTTTAGTTTTAAATTTTTTGATTTAATAGATTGGTTTAATAATGACATTTAAGTTGTCGCCATGTTTGAATTTTGAAAAAATAGAAACTTATTTAACGAAAATAAATATATAAAAAAACTAAATCTAAAAAAGTATTTCTACCCTCCCAAAAGAAGATAAAATTATATAAAAATGATGTGCTTTTAATTTTTTTCACCAATTTAATTTTTAGTTGTTAGAAAAAAATTTGAAAATAGATTCTGAAAACTAAGCTAAACCGAACTTTATAACCAAAAAAGTGCCAGTATTATTCATTAAAAAATCTATTACATTTCAAATGACATTCAAGTTAATCAACACAAAATAAGTTGTATACCAACTTTATTCTTGAAATGAATTGTTTACAAAGGAAATATGTTTGATTGTCCTCATTTGAAATAAAATTCAAAATTCATAGTCAATTATATCACAACTGAAAAATTAGGAACTAAGATAGCATAAGTCTCAAATTACAAAAACTGTTAGTATAATTCTTTTATTTTTTAAAAACGTTGTTATTTCTTTTTCTTTGACTTGGAGGCTTTTTGGGACTGACTTGAGCCCTTACAAATCCCCATGCCTGTGTTCAAGGGGTAGATACTGACCTGGACAAAATTTAATAAAACCTTTTCCTTTTATTTTATTTGTATTTCCCCTATGTTTTTTATGTTACTTGTGTTGTATCAGTGAGGATTGAGGGGTGAGCCCCCTTTACCCTTTCTCCTTTTGGTTACTATTACTTGTGTTGTATCAGTGAGGATTGAGGGGTGAGCCCCCTTTACCCTTTCTCCTTTCGGTTACTATTATTATTATTTTTTTTTGTAAAAAAATATTCTTTAATTTGTTTATTCTGTACCATGTTTACGAATTTCTTTGTATATTTTCTATAGGTGTTATTGTGAGATTGTCAAAGAAAAACAACTTCTTTGCATGTCGGAATTTCATGGAGTTGGAATGTTCTTTGTGCTATGATTAGTTTTCTTATTGTTTCAAGGCTGTGAAAGTAGAACTATTTGGACAAAATGAAGCTTTTTTTAGTAGTGGTAGTAATGGTATTTTGAACTTCCACCCTGAATAATTTGAAATTATGCTTTTTATTTTTTTTGTTACTATTATATTTTTGGAATACTATGAATAAGCTAGTCATTTAAGTTGTGTAATTTTTTTCCCCCTAATAAATATTATATGTTGTGTAATTAAAACAAAACTTTGAAGAATGTGACTCAGATAAGGCTTGCCATATTTCAAATAATTCGACTATAGCAAGATTTGTTCAAAGGTCCAAATTAGCCCATACATATTAGTACAGTGGGCTGGTCTAGGATTTGAATTTTGTTTAGGGTTGGATTTGGGATAGCCAAATTAGGCTCAATATGGGGCCACGTTTTACGAACCGACTCTTTTGAGTATGCAGCACAAATTTTTTAAAGGAAAATGGGGGAGACCCCAGCACCCCCAGTGGCTGATTGGCCCAAAAATATATATATATATATATATTTTTGTTTTTCATCCTCTCTTGGACCCCCATGTGTATGTGGGGATGGTGGGGGTCACCCCCAACTGGAGTCTGCAGCATGATTGTTTTCTAAAATCAACAAATTGGGAAGACTTCCAACCCAACAGCCAAATTTCGGAAGTTGGGCTACCAAGTTTTCAACAAACTTCTATCCTTGAAAAGTCTCCAACTCCAAATTAAGACTATCAAAATCCATACGGGGAAGAAAAGAAAAGAAACTGCTAAGGACCTATTTAGAGGTGCAATTTGAGCAGGTTGAAAGGCTGTCTAAGTCCAGTCTAAGTTATGCTCAGAGATGGTCAGACCCGCCTAAGCACGAATTGTAACCTGAGATTCTCTATTCAAGCCCGAGGTTCTACTATTAACCCCAAAAAAATATACATACTATATGCATCTTTACCTTAAACTATTAAATTAAAAAAAAATATATATATATATAATAAATTTCAGTCATTGACCAAAGTACTAAAACTAATATGCATTATAATCGAAAATCACTTTAGTCATAATCAAAGAACAGATCACATACAACACTACTTTGGGACAAAATCAAACATCATAGCAGAACATAACCAACTTTGATTTGACTATTTATTAGTTCCACCACCACAATAGCTCATAATTAAATACTACAATAACTTACAATTACAGGACTTATGTACCTGACATTGCTTTCACACTAGCCATGTTTCTCAACCCACACAGTACGATTGAGTGAAGTCAAGCTAGTGAAGCACAAGTGAGTGGAAGTCAAGCTAGTGAAAAATTAAATCAATAAAAGATGTCATACTCCATCTACTTCCATTCAGAGGGATAATATGTACCTCACGTCACCATTTTTTCCACCCCCTAGTTTACATTTTAGAACAGGATTGGCATTTGAACTGATACTACTAAGAGAAAATACATATCAGTGGAAAGTTTACAAAATATTAACATATCAGTCCAAATTCACTTTAAAGCCATATATAATGGCATAATGGGCGGGTCTGGGGTTTGAATGTTTCTAGGATTGGATTTGGGATGGCCAAATTAATCCCAATACCCAGACCAGGCCAAACCTAGAGTGGCACATATTTCATAGTTTCCCTCAATCATCATTAGGTAAATCACACATTTTGTTCTTCTACTTCCTTTTCTCATGAATCCCAAGCCTCCATTACCTAACCCAGATCACTTCCTATACCTCTGCTTCTGCTAACTCGGATATCCCCAGACTATATGCAAAAGACTGAACTACTACTTACTAATCGTAGAGTTCATTGAAACTTTCTTATATTTGCCAATTGCTATCTCATGAATTAGGCTTTGACTATATGGAACACTGCGAGAGAATCATTTTCTGAAATAGGCAAGAAAATTTCTTGGTAGCCTTGCATCCACCATTGATTTCCAATGAGTTTTATGTTTTTCATCCTAAATTCCTAATAGTTTCTTTCACTTCATTTGGCTGATTAATTATGATCCAGTGAGCGGTACATTCAAGGATTGGATCATAGTTTAGGGGATGCCAAATTGGTTTCGTATTGTTGTTTGCTCATGTGGGCAGCCTCAATTGGATGAATACTCCTACCGTTATGTAACATAAGAAAGTAGAGATTATCACTTTTTTGTACTGTTGAGTTTGCCTTGTACAAAAACAATGCTACTCTGTTCTTCTGCTCCAAATCGTGCTCTAACCCTCCATGCTTGCTAAGTTGACTTGTAAATGTGACAATTCTATGGAGTTCATAGGAAGTTCAGTACACTCAAGATCTGATTTGGGAAACTAATGTCATTCTTTTGATATCTTCAAAACACACACAGAATGTCATGCTTGTCTAGGCAGAGTTGCACTAGAACTACATAAACAGTTGTGAATCCAATATGATGAGATTTATTGTGGATGTGTCTCAAATTCAATCTCAATTATGCTTATTATCCATTATTGACATTGGTCACAAATGTTGCTAGGTCCAAAGTGTTATTTGCATTTGGGTCTATTTTGACCCAATTTTCTATTTGTTGAATCCTGGTTATATTAGCTTATTTCAGTTTTATAGTATTGAAAGCTTTTGTTTCAAAGGATTGTGTTAAGACTTGAGCGAGCAGACTCATTGTATTCGCTACATACGTAGTAAAACTCTTTCACTCACCCTCATCGGCTGTGAATTGCCTTATGAATCGACTATATGTATTTGGGATATGCATCTATACTATTATATATGTGAACAACTCACTTTAGTCTCTTGAAGTCTACTCTCTCATTTTGCCAAGTGGATGCTTTTATATCAAAAAAGAAAAAGCAAAATTATAAAGTGAAGTGCACAAGATTTGAACCTAAGATCTTAAGTTTGAAAAATAATAGCCTCACCACTTGATCAACAAGCACTACATATATTTCTAACTCAAAATCAAATTTTATATTTTACAAATTTAATAGCACACCCTAGTATAACTAAATAGGATCAATTATGCGATGCAAATTGGCCAATATTGAAAACCATGGATGAGTCATTGAGAATTCATACAAAGCAATGCTTAAGAAAACTCAAATTATATCTTTTTTAATAAAGAGCAAAAACAGTGATAGGAGTATCAACTGAATTAAGCTAGGCTGCCAAAATGAACAATTGTTTGAAACAGTTCTGGCATCCCCTGAAACGTTAGCTTCTCAAATTTTCCACTCTCTGGATCATAAGACACCAAAACTCTACCTCTATGCTGTACCAAAACATTCCCATTCTTTAAAAGACAGAGAACTTGAGCAGGTCTCACCTGCGAAATCTTCCTCCAAATCGCATACAATTGCTTCAATTCTGGTTTCAACTCCACCCGAGGCACGGAACTAGTTCCAATGTTGAACTCCTTGATCCAAGACTCTTTCACATCGTACTCTCTCATAACCCAAATCTCCAAATCCTCGTAATTACAAAATGCTGCGGAAAGACATTTTCTTAGCACTGTCAAATGATAGTCACATCTTTCTTGCCCACCCGGTCTTGGGACCTCTCTAAACTTTTCATCACCTAAATCGAAAGATACTATGCTCCGTGCATAACGACTTTCACATTTATGCCGCAAAGTCAACCAATGAAGTCTTCCGTTCACCAGTGCTTCTGATGATCGTTGCTCAAGCTGGTAAGGCAAACGTGCTCGTCAGAGACTTCTCCAACAAGGACTCCAACTACTGTATACGAAGGCCTCTGATTGTGCACGGTAATTATGGATTCTAAAATAGGGGGAAGGCGGGTTTTTGTTATGTCTTTTCCAATAGTAAATCAGTTTAACAACCTTGTACACATGACTCACATGATCGAACCCAAATCCAAACGCGACCTTTTGCTCCCCAAACTGTATTGTTCTTGGCAGCTCTTTGAATTCCCTTGTAAAAGGATTGCATATATACATTGTATCGCCATTTACATTGTCTGATAAGCATAACAAATCATTACAAGAACCTATTATGTTGAACTCAGGCAACAACACATCAGAGAAAGGCGTGCTGAGTTTTCTCACAATCTGATTGTTGTGATCAGAGAGTTCCGCAAAGCAAAGCTGGTTGCGGATTGGATCATAACTATGGAACATCAGACACGGTTTGTTCTTCGATGTCCGGTAATATTGAAGTTCAGCGAGATGAGGATAGTTTGATAATATTTGAAAGGTTCGACTTGCGAATCGCAATCGAATGAGAGAGGCTATGGGTAGCCTTGAAAGAATGTCGATGGCTAAATCAAGAGGTAGTCTCTCTATCATAGCAGATGTTGTTGGTTCATCGGTCTTTTCATGGTTTGTTTTTGTTTTCTTGTTGCTCTTTTTGAAATCCATGGTGGATCGGATACAAAAGTATCAGGGGAGAATCTAGAGTATATATCATAGAAATCTAGTTAGTGTAAAATTGATGACAAGTTGGAGTTATAGTTACAGTTGGATTGAAACACTGAATTGCCATCTGATTTTTGAAATCCTCTATATATCTATATATATATAGACAAGAAGCTCTTTCTTCTCCATGGCTCCTCTTTTTTTTTCTATTTTGTTCTTACATTTTGAATAATTTACTAATGATTGCCTGTATGTTGAGTAAAAGTTTTTTTTCGTAATTATGCAAACATTTTTTGTCAATCATGTTACAGGTTTTTTCTTAATTACATAAACATTCTTGGTTAATTATGAAATATGCTTTTTCGTAATTATGCAAATATTCTTGGTCAATTATGAAACATAAATATTTTATTTTTTAATAAATTACAAATACACTCGTAAAGTTTGTTTAAAATATGAGTCAGTCTTATAATACTATAAATTATAATTATTGTTTGTTATAGATTTTAATTTAACACAATACCCAAGGAAAAAAAACTATTCTCCTATACAATAATAAATTATCAAATTTTTTTATTGAAAAGTATTTCTCATATCTTGAAAAATTGTTAATTGACTTAATGATTTATTTATTAACAAAATGGTTAATTGAAAAATATTTTCCATATCATTAAAAATTGGTAATTTTCTTAATAATTTACTTATGAATAAAATTAATCATTTATTATCTGAGTATGATTTATGTATTAATAAAATTAGTCATTATATGGATATATTTTCTTGTGCTTTTTTATTAGTTTAGTCATTTATCTTAGTAGTTTATTTTAGATAGGAGAATTATCTTCGTATTTGTTTTAAATTTATCGGTTGAGAAAAGCTACACACCATAATTTTGTTTTTGTTTTTTTTATAAATTCGGAAGAAATGTTACAGATTCATAAATTCACCCAAAATGATAGGGTAATAGAATTGGAATATACATCATTAAGTGTATAACAAAACCAAAAATGATACTACATATCATATCACATAATTCTATGATATATCTAATAATTTATTCTATTCAATTTCATAAAACAATAGTTGAAATTTTTAAAAAATTATCAAAATATAAAACTTAAACATATTGTAAAAATAGCCCGTGCTGCTTGAGATTCGTCTTTTCTTTTCGATTTTGTCCTTTCATTTTGAATAATTTACTAAGGGTGGTCTATATGTTGAGTGAAGATTTTTTTGTAATTACGTAAACATTCTTTGTTAATTATGAAATAGGTTTTCCATAATTACGCAAACATTCTTGGTTAATTATGGGAAAATTCTATTTTCACACGCATAGTTAGCTTAGGGCAAACACTTAATGAAATATTAATTTAATGATAATTATATCATAAATAAAAATGACCTTAATAGATATCCAGTAACATCTATAATATTATATGAAATAATTCTATGTACACATCTTTTAAGAATAAAAAAACTCAATATACACCTTTTGAGTTAAAAAAAATAGAGTAAATCCTAGTTTTTCCATTGTTGTCACATTGTTGAGAGAGATTGCATTTTTTTTTTTGGGGGGGGAGGGACGGGATTCTACTGAAATTAATTAAGAAGATTGAAGAATTGGGTTAAGGATTTTCAACCAGCTAAGCACAGTCCTCAAAAAAATAGTAAACATGCTCTGTTCTTTGCTGTGAGAGAGTGAATGAGACGATGATATGATACATACAACACAAACGATTCGCACTCATTGATTCCTTGAAATCAACACTCGATTAATTCTCCAATCAATGGTAAGTGTGAACCAACCAAACTAAATAAATACTCAAAAAAAAAAAAAAAAAATCAATCTAAGATTGAGTACTGTCATGGTGTTTTCTTTACTTATATCGATCTAAGGTTTTGTATTTGGTCAATTCCTTATATCTATTTATAGGTCAATTTAGTTTATTTTATGTATTTAATTTTATCTCTCTGCATATCTCTTTTGGTTTATGATCGAAGAATTCGTTAAGGAACTAAAATTAATTAAGAAGATACTGGGTTAAGGAAATTTTTTTTTTTCCCACTGTAAGAAGGGAGGTTTTCAATAGAGCAAAGTTCTTCATTGTGGATCTTTACTTTGACTTTTGTAGCACTGTGGGTCTACAAATTTCCAAACAAACCGTAACAGTAGCAGTGCATGTGAAAGGAAGGACAAGTGTATGGAAGGAGGGTTGAAGGGCTGTGTCTACAATGATATGAGTGAATGGTATAATTGATAAATTTAGTGTGTGGATTGAGAAAATTAATTAATAATTAAATTATAAAATGTGTGTACTGAGAAATGATGTGAATTGAGATAATTAAGAGTGTGGAAATAGAATTTTCCTCAATTATGAAACATAAATATTTTATTTTTCAACAAATTACAAATACACCTATAAGGTTTATTTAAAATATGGATCGGTTCTATAATACTAAAAATTACAACTATCGTTTGTTATAAATTTTAATTTAACATAATACTCTGGGGAAAAAAAAACTATCCTCCTATTCAATAATAACTTATCAAAATTGTTTATTGAAAAATATTTCTCATATCATTAAAAACTGTTAATTGCCTTAATGATTTATTTATTAACAACCAACTAGGGTTGGCTACCATGCCTTCCTTAGGGCTTAGTCCCAAAGAGGTCATGGGTTCAATTCCCTTTGGGGAGGTTGAATTAAGGGAGTGAAAGCACTTAGGTGCTTTGCTAGGGTGAGAAGATTTTCTCCCATAGGTGCTAATCTAACAATTAATAATTAACATTTGCCGATAAAAAAAAAATTATTTATTTATTAACAAAATGATTAACTAAAAAATATTTTTTATATCATTAAAAATTGTCAATTTACTTAATGATTTATGTATTAATAAAATTAGTCATTTATATATATATATATATATGTATGTATTTTCTTCTACTTCTTTATTAGTTCAGTGAATTATCTTAGTAGTTTTTTTTAGACGAGAGAATTATTTTAGTATTTGTTTTTATATTTATCTGTTGAGAAAAGCTCTATACACCATAATTTTTTTTTTTATAAATTCGGAAGAAATGTTAAAAACTCATAAATTCACTCAAAATGATATGGTAATAGAATTGGAGTCTATATCATTAAGTGTATAACAAATCAAAAACTGATATATATCATAACACATAATTCTATGATATATCTAATGATTTATTCTATTCAATTTCATAAAAAAATAGTTGAAATTTTTTTAAAAATGATCAAAATATAAAACTTAAACATACTGTTTTTTTTTTTTTTTTTTTTTTTTTTTAAAATCTTGCCATAAGAAGCTTTATTGATGTAAAATTAGTACAAGGTACAAAATACAATACACCAATAAAGAAAAGAGGAGTGTAGGAGCATCACAATGAGCTAAATGATCCTAACTAGGTTGGCACCAAAAAGCCCATCCTATCATTTGCTAGCACCCCCAAGTTGGTGAGGAACCAATGAGGAAGAAAGAAACCAAAAACAAAGAGAAAAAGGGAAAACCAAAAAACCAGCAGCTAGACAACCTCTGGTATACACCAGCTACAACCATTCATAGAACAAGAACAAAAGCAAACCAGCAGAGCAGCCCACTAACAGGACATACTAGCAACCAGCAAGCTCAACAAACAACAACACAGATGAGGATGAAGTCTTCTTCCTTGCTTTCAACAGCAATCCAGATGAGGATGTAGGCTAACCATCTCCACCATCAAACATTGCCTGCTGCTGCTAGTTGGCCAGAGGTAGAACAAATACACTTCAATAAGTAGCACTTGCAATATTAGACTCTTGGACACTTCTATTCAACCCAGATCAGCATCAGGCAGATTACAGCAGCAACATGATACACAATTTTATTTAGAAATAACTCTGCACCAAAACACAACAACAACTCATCACCAACAGTAGCAACTCTAAACAGCAAGTCACCACCTATTGAGGCCCCCATCAGATAGGCTTCTTCTGATCACTTCATGCTTCTCTGCCTCTAGGCAACCAAGAACATATGTTCGGGACCCTCCACATCTTCAGACTATTGATATTACTTACCCCAATTTGCTCACCAATGTGGACAATAAAACCCCCAACAATACCACCAAGTCAGCCACAATGTAATGCATGCCTTACCTGATCCAAATTGGCCACCACATCATGCACTGAGTATTGGAACTCGCTAGAGGTTGCAATAATCCACAATGCAACTCTAGTTTTAATTAGCTCACAAACCTCCTTCAATATAGGTTGTTTTTCATTAAAGATACACTCATTTCGAAGCCTCCACACAGACCACAGTGCTGCCAAAGGAATTGCCTCCCAGATTTTCTATTCAATCTTTCTCCATTTGTACCCTTTCCACCAATCCAATAGCCCTTTGGGCTTTTCAGGTATCACCCAAATCAAACCCCACCAATTCAGCAAATTTGTCCAGATCCTCCAAACAAAAGGGCATTGCACCAGAACATGACACCCTGATTCCACCTCACAGCTGCAAAAAACACAGTTCAATTGAGCCTCATAACTAAGACACCTCGCTCTTTGGCGGAAAGCTCTTGATTTGATTCGACCCTTCCAAGCGAGCCAACCAAAAAACTGAACTTTTGGTGAAGAAATATTATTCCAAATCAACCTTGATGTCCCCAAGCTCTGCTCTACACATCTTCTATTGTACATTGAATTAACTGTGAACACACCTGAAGATGACGCCTTCCAAGCCAATGCATCAGCTTTTTCTAATAAAGACGGGTCATATGAAAGCAAAATGGACTGTAGTCTTTCCATCTCAACCTCCTCCCAAACTCTCAGATTCTTTCTGAAACTCAGCTTCCATTCAGATAAGCCATTTCTTTTATCCATCATCTGCTTAAGAGTGACCTCTTTTTCTACTGACAACTCAAATAATCGAGGAAAATCCTCCTTCAAACATTTGCTGGAAGCCCAACTATCCTCCCAAAATCTAACCCTCATACCATTCCCTACTTGAATGACAGAATTATCCATAAAGAAGCAAAATAGGTTAGAATTGCTGTGTTCCAAGCTGAGAATATCAGTCCAGACTCTTGAACATTGGTCACTGCTACCAGAATCTGGTCTCCACTTACCTCCAGAGCTGCCATATTTACTAATTAAAATGTCTTTCCACAACACACGGTCCTCACTACCATATCTCCACCACCATTTAGCTAGTAAACAATCATTGACTTCCTTCAATTTCTTAATCCCCAAACCTCCCAAGTGCTTTGTTTTGGTTACCTCCTCCCATTTTACCAGATGGATCTTCTTTTTAAGTTCTGAACCTCCCCACAAAAACCTGGCCTGAATTTTGTCCAGCAATTTTGATACATTTGCAGGCAATTTAAACAAAGAGAGGTAGTGCACTGGTAAAGAAGATAGCACTACTTTGATCAATGTTAACCTACCTCCAAATGATAGTAATTTCCTTTTCCAAGACGCCAGCCTAGACTTGAATTTATTGATTACCGGCAACCATGTGCTTTTCTTCCTTGGGCTGGCCCCCAGTGGTAAACCAAGATACTTGAAAGGTAACTTTTGGATCATACAATTCAATCTTCCTGCGAAAACATTTACCTCTGCCTCCTGTACACCTACTCCACAAACTGTACTCTTATGAAAATTAATCTTCAATCCAGAGAGCACTTCAAAACACCTCAAGATTCTCTTAACGCTCAAAATGTCGTTCTCTTCTGCCTAACAGAACACAATTGTATCATCTGTAAATTGCAAATGGGTAACATTAACCTCCCTTAGGCCAATCACAACACCTTTGATTAGCTCCAATGCTTTAGCTCTTTGGAATAATATATTCAAACCCTCAGCCACTATATTAAAAAGAAAGGGAGACAACGGATCCCCTTGCCTGAGTCTTTTTTCTGGACAGAATTCATTACTCGGGGAACCATTAACAAGAACTGAAACTCTAACTGATTGTATACACACCTTCATCCACCCAATCCACTTATCTTGGAATCCAAAGCTTGACATCATATTAAAGAGATACTCCCAATTTACTGTGTCGTATGCTTTTTCAAAATCTAGTTTCAAAATTACCCCTTCTTCTTTTTCCTTTTCCACCAATCCACTACTTCATTGGATACTAAAATCCCATCTAAAATGTTCCTCCCTCCAATGAAAGCGGACTGAGATTCTCCAATTATTTTAGGCAATACCTTTTTTAGTCTAGAAGCTAGAACCTTAGACAAAATTTTGTACAGAGATCCAATAAGGCTAATTGGTCTATAATCTGAAACACCACCTAGATTCTCATTCTTAGGTAACAATGTGATGAAAGAGCTATTGATACCTTTTGCTAAGCATCCATTATCATAGAATTCCTTGAAAGAATTGTAAGATATCCTTTTTAAAAACTTTCCAACACTTTTGAAAGCAAAACAAATTGAAACCGTCAGGTCTTGGTGCCTTATTTTCATCACTCTCTCTAATAGCTCTCCAAATCTCCTCCTCTGAAAAAGGAATAACCAGCCCATTAGAATCATTATCATGCCCAATGGACTTGAAAACACCTTGGAGCTTAGGTCGAAATTTCCACTCTTCACAGAATCTGTTTTTAAAGTGTTTAGCTACCTCAAAATAAAAGAAAAAATAAACAGGGGCAAACTATAGTAGCAACACTTGTATTTCTAGTAAAAAGGAAACTCAGTCCAATCCATCCCACCAAGCTCTGTAAGAGAAAATATTAGTATCGATGCCAATGTTCAGAGTTTAACGAAACTAGTCCACCAAAGGAAATATTAGATATTTTTTCTACCTACCAGAAGAATCTTAGTCATCTAACAAAATGCAAAAGTACAAACATTTGAGTCAAAAACTAATGATCAATGTACAACATAAATAGGGAGCACACCTTGTCCAAATTCATATTAAGATGAATGAACTCCACTAAGGAAGCAGAGTTAAAAAATTAACAAGATTCAGATGAACAATATGGTCCAAATTCATATATCATCAATTCAAAGCAAATTAACAGTGGTGGTACTACACTAGATTAAAGAACTGCTCAGTTATGATGATTCACAAATTAAGGCATTCAATTCAATATCATGTGACGCTATCATTCCATCCAAAAACGTAAATGATGGATCACCTTGTGCACTCTGTTAGAAACTCTACCACATATTACCTCTGTACTAAAGTTGGATTATAGCTAATTGACCTTAGAGAGAGAGAGAGAGAGAGGATGTTAACTAATTCTTTTTTCAAAAGTTAATTAAATTGTTTGTTTGGTTAGAGACAGAGAGAAATTACATAATTGGTGAAGACTTTTCATGCTTGATCTTGAAGAAGTGGATTTGCAGAGGAAACTGTTACACTTGATCTCACACAAATGTCTCATAACCTGAAACCCAACAAATCATGTCAATGGAATTACTTTACATAACAATTTTAATATGCTACTTTTTTAACACATCCATACACACACAGTATGGTTCAGTAGAGCATTACAAAAGTAACAGTTGAATGATCTTTTCATTTTCAAAATCATGACTCATGAGAATAGATCTTATGAAGAATTAAAGAAACGGGTGGTGGGGATAGGGGTGAGAAGAGAAGAGAAGAAATCATGAATATGGGCAATTGGAAATTACTGATCTCAGGGATAATCTTCAATGTGGGATATGTTGATGGATGGAATATGGGAAATCTTGTGCCATTCTTGGCCGCTTTCCCATGCACATCTTTCATCTACATGGGGGCAATCTCTAATTTTGTATAAAAATTTCGGTAATATTTCTTTTTTTTTTTTCCTAACAAAAGGTGATATTTTTGCCAATCAAGAAAAAAAAGACACAAAAAGGTGGTATTTTTTTCTAACAAAGTTACATGAGAGAAAGGTTTTGGTTACCAAAGTCTGATTTGTTCGATTTGTTTAAAATGCATTGCACCAGATCTGGTACATATATATGTACCAATTAGTTCGGTTTTAGGAGAATTTGATCATATGATCGAAAATCTAAAATAAATAACAAATAAATGTAGTTGCTTTTTGCTAGCATGACCAATTCGAAAGTCCAAATATTAGATTTAATTTAACATAGAAAAAAAATTTCATCAAATTTTCAACAGGTATTAATTCAACTAAACATTTCAAATACATATATATATATATATATATAAGTTTTCTTCCAATTGAGTATCAGTTGATCTACAAAATCATCAAATAATCATCAAACGTGTTTTGGCTACCTGAACATCAATGCAAATGCCAAACTTAAAAACTTCACAAAATTGAAATTGAAAATCAATGTACCTTTTTCGTGTGCATCATCAAGCCATTGCAAGTGTAGATCCCAGCATCTTGAAGCTTCTTCACATCTCCGACATTGATTCCATGAGCATCTTAACTCTTCTACACAGTTCAATTGAACTCGTCAACATTCAGACCATCTTAACTCTTCTACACAGTTCGTTTTTTTTCTTTTATTTTTTTTCAATTTTCTGGTACAGAAAAGAAATATTAAAAGTAAATGTTACAGTTTAATAATGCAATGCAATGGGTTCTACAGTCAAGTTCAAGGTACAACAAGTATAATATTTTCAAACTTTAATTTGAACCAATTACTGATCACAAACTATGCACAAAAAGACGTCAAGAACATATAATATATGAATTTAAAAATCGAAAATGAAAGAAACATTGAAGTTGAACTTCTTGCCTGTTGATATGCATGGAAGCAGAGTGCATCAAGGAGAGATCTAATGTAAACCTGTCTGACATTCAACCCCTGACAAGCAAAAAAAAAAAAAAATCAGAAAACCTAATGCAAAAATGATGCATGTTATGTGAACAAATAGATAACTGAACAGAAGCAATTCGTAGCATTCTAGATTTACTGACAGCAGATTGTAGGTATGCAGGGGTGACCTTGACTCCTTCCATGAAAAGAGTAAATGGAGTCAACAAGAAGAAGGACATAATTGTTATAATTGAGAAGAGAGTAATGTTATCCAAAGATTCCTGCAAAAGATCAATATTAGTTACGTACTTGAGAAAATAAAATAAAATAATAGAACACATGCAGAGATAGACACACACACAATAATCTTCCTTTTCACTGGGGAACAAGAATAATTTTATCTATATATATAATCATGACAAATTATTTGTTGCTACCAACTTTCTAGAAGTACCCAAAGTAAATAAAGAAAATAACAAATTGTTCCACCTTACAGCACTTCGATCTATCAAATTTCATCAATGAGGAAAAGAACAAACTATACCAAGTTAGTAGTACATGACATCAAGGAAATGAAACCATAAGTGAATACCTCTTTCTTGACCATAAACTTTTTGCTAAGGACATTACGAGATTGGTTGGTCAAATTAGAAGCCATTGCACTCCAAAACCCGGGCCTGTTTCACATACAGAAAAACAAAAAAATAAGTGAGATTGTGCATGAGAATCTGGGATAACAACTTCGACTACTTTTGATCATATATAGAAAAATCCAAACTGGACATGGGTAAAACGGAACCTACAGGCAGAATGCTATGTGATCTCTATATACTTTTTTTCCCCTTTTTTAGAGTCTTTGACAACAAGAAAGGTGAGTAACAATTTAAAGCAAATGTGTGTGTATTTTCTCACCAATTAAAAGATGCCTCTGTCATTGACGCCAGTCCCACTCCACCAACAATTGGTAACAGAGAAGCAACCACCCACAAGGTGGGTATCTATTCTTGCAACAGAAGAAATAGATTGGTTAAAAGTTAAAACACAACTTTTACAATAATGAACATTTGCCATTATGAACTCTACAAATCATTAAATTATTTCATACAACATTCCTATGTTGTGTTGTGTGCACCACCAATAGTAGTCAACAACAAAAATAAGAAATTACAAGCAAATATTTTCAGAAACATATAAAAAAATGATTGATGGCAAATTAAATGGGTGTACTAACTTCATTGTTATTTTATATAATAAAATAATAATTAAAAAAAAATTGTCACTCCAACCAGATGGCAAGGGAGAGAAATCATTCAAATAGAGTCAATTCCCATTCAGTTCTAAAATTTTCTAACAAAAAATAGTAATAATGAGGATTGGTTTAGAATTATGGAAAGTGTAAGAGAAAAATTTAAAAATTTCAATTTTGTAAAAAGTGTAATTAGAAAAATGGTGTAAGAAGATAAATTGATGGCATAAGTAAAACTACCAGACGCTAAATTCTTAAAACCAAAAGGAAATTATTTTTTGTTAGACAGATTTACCCTTGTATTTATTTTGATCTAAAAAATTTTAAAATCCCATAACTTCAATTTTACAAAATAATTTTTAACAAAATTGATATTTGTCTATTCTTTTTTTTTTTTTTTTTTCAGGATGGGAAGAAAACATATGAAATGCACACCTCCCCTAAAAACATAGCAGAGAGGACAACTGAGAAGAAGGGCTCCATGGCTTTAATTGTGTGAGTGAATGAAACAGCAACTTTTCCAATACTCATGTTTGTGAAAAGGTTGCCTGAGGTGTGCACCACTGCTAATGGGAGAATTGCTACAAGCTGTCATAGAAAAAGACATATTAATCAGAGTCATCATGATAATGGCAACCTAAATACATGAGACATTCATCCCGTCATACATAACAATACCTGTGCACCACTAATTTTTGGCCGTCTGCAGAGATTAGATGTCCACATGAAAAGAACAAGTATAGTCCCAACGGCAAACTGAACGCTGGTTATAGTAATTGGATATGGGAACACTTTCAAAACCTGTGAACAAAAAGTATCTGTAATCATGCTTTTTATCTCCTTGTCAAAAGTTTCAGCATTCAAATTCAATGGATAATTGACAATCATCACAACTCATGTCATTCAATAATTAATTGCGTAGTGAACAATAAAAAATGGTCCTTTGCTTGCTACATCATAGCTCAATAAGCTTTCACCATACTAAAAGATTATTATTGCACGTTTCCTCAAACACTAAAATTCAACACAATTCCAAATCATGAAAGCTATTGTTTGCAACATTTGCCAACAATCTAATAATTTCCACACACTTCAACATTTGTATGAATTAAAAGTAGGGCAAAGCAATATATATGTACAAGAAAAGCTCCAAAATCACTAAAAAAAATAAATAGACCAGTAGAATTTGATCAAGTGGTCGGTCAAGAGATGGATATAGAAAAAGAAAGAAAAAATCAACAACTTTTAACATTAAACTTCAGGAATTAGGAATTTCTAAATATCACTATAAATAAAAATTAAAAATCCTTGAGGCTGTGTTTGGTTTGAGGATTTGATTCTATGTCAACAAATTAAATTCTATGTCAACAACTAACATAAAACACAATTTCCACCTGCTCAAAATAGTATTGTGGCTGAAACATAAATCCAATCAACACTAGAAGAAAGTAACAAACAGAATTTAGAGCTGATATTTACAGATCTGATCGAAGAGATAGCAGATCTGATAATAAGATCTACGTCTCTAGATCGTTAAACCGCTAATTGCCTGGAGACATTGACATTGCACGCGAAACCCTAGACAAAATTCATTCGCCATGAACGAGAAAAACTTTCCATGTATCCCATTGCATGGACTAGAAAGAGCAAGAGACCACAAACGAAGAGACAGAACACAAAACAAAAGCAAAAATGCAAGAAATAAGCTAGATTTGGGGAAAAAATGCAAGTGAATCTACAAACATCAACCAAAAATATATTCCAAATCGTTGTTTTAACCATGAGATTTTACAGATCTTGAGTGAACTTAGCAAATCTAGGTTAGAAAACCCTTACCGTGAGCCCTAGATCGATTTAGATCAGAAGGATTCAAACAATCTCGAAGATATATGCTCAGGTCAGAAGAGAGAACAAGATTTTCTAGATCAAAATCACCAAAAATCGATGGAAATCAAAGAACCAGCCCTCGATCTCTCTCTCTCTCTCTCTCTCTCTCAAGTCGAGTCTTTGTTCAATCGATTGAAATCGAAAAGCATATCTAGATAGGTAAAATTACCTTTGTAAAAGGGCAAAAAAAATCCCCTATTTCACATACACAAAACTGTGCCGTTTCACTGGCACAAATGTTACCCTTCATTTCATACCATGTTATACCACCGTTTGCCAATAAACTAGTATAGTATAATCGGGAATTTAAAAGATTTGTTCATAGATTGGATGGCATTTGTCAAAAACGCCACAAAAAAAAACGTGGTTATATCTCATTTTTCCTATAGTGATCCATTTAGTTCTAAGAGTTTTCTTCTAAACCAATTAGTCCGTTTGTTTTGAAAAGTTGTATTTATTTGAATAAGTGAATGTCCTTTTGTGATTCAATTTTCTAATTTGTTTTTGGGATGAGAATGAAAATGTGAGGTGTTGAAGATTCTTTTTGGGAGGAGTAGTGGCTGAAGTGTTGGTTGTTGAGCGTCAAAATCTATATTTCTATTAGTATGATTTTCTGGTTTTGTATTAGAGTGCTACGTTAAGAAAAAGTATACTAAGGAGTTTTTGCGTGTTACATTAATTAGAGTGTTATGTTTAGAAAAAATATACTATGGAGTTTTTTAAAATTGTTACGTTGTTGCGTTTGAGAAAAATATACCAAGAAGTTTTTGTGCGTTACATTGATTGAAGTGTTATGTTTGGGAAAAGTACATTAAGGAATTTTTTTGGAATATTATGTTGTTACGTTTAAGAAAAGTACACTAAGAAGTTTTAGTGTGTTACATTGGAATGTTATATTTTTGGAATGTTACGTTTGGTAAAAGTACATTAAGGAATTTTTTTGGAATGTTACGCTCAATAATTTTAACATTATGAGCAAATCTACATTTATCCCCCAACACATAACACACAAGTGTTTATATTTGGTCCTTTATGTAATTCACACTAGAATTAGACATTTGGGTTCATAAGAAAAAAACGGATAATCAAACAGTTTATGAGGTCACTATTTGAGATTTATTTTAACACTAGACAAACCAAAAAAAGTAAAAAAAAATTGACAAATTTTAAAAAGAAATCACTCAAGGCACAAAATGCTGAAAAATATGTTACATTTTTAGGTGGATCCCAAACACATGATTGGAGGGTGGGATTGGACTCCATGTCCAATCCATCATGGAGTCCATTGTTTGGTTGAGAATTTGTAGGCTGAATTAAGAGTGCCACCGAACTATGAATTCCATATATGTTGGACTATTATGTCCTAGGGTGATGTGAGATAGATATGGTGGGATTGTAATTTCATCAGATTAAATTATAAAATGACGCATTTGCTCTCCAAGTATTTGATTTCATTATATATTGTATTTAGTAAAATAAAATAATATAAAAAAATCTCAATTAAAAAATAAAATAAAATAAATTTATTTAAATTTTATTGATGTTTTATTTTAAATTTTTGTTGGTATTTTATTTAATTTTACTATTTTTTAAAATAATTTTATTTAAAAAATAACATAAGTTTTTATTGATGTTTTATTTATTCAATTTATTTAATTTTAAAAAATAAAATAAAACAAATTTTTATTTAATCTTGCCAAAAAAATTAAAATATTAAAGACAGATTAGTATTGCTATTACTTAGTAAACAATTGAAAAGAATAAAATAGTCTGAGCATTTATCCCTTTTTATAATCTTTCAATCAAATATTAAATTCAATAAAATAGTCATTTGCAGACATCTAATCCAATAAAAAAATAAGCGTGGGATACACATTCTTTTCAATCAAATAGTTCAGAGACTATATGTCTAAGATTTAATAGTCCGATAGATAACAATCCTTCCTTATCCAACTAGCCCAAAAAAACATGGCCTTAAGGATATGCTAGATTAGGAAGATAGTGAACTAAAAAAAAAAAAAAAAATCACTTTGCTTGGTTTGGGTTTTCTAAAAACACTTTTCAGAAATTCTATTTTTTTATTTTCTATATTTTTTTTTGTTTTTGCTCAATTTTTTTAATATTTTAAGCAATTTTTAAAATTTTTTAGACACACCTAACATAAATACACTTAAAAAGTATAATTTTCGTGAAAAAAATATTTTAAAAAATTCACTAAATGTCAAAAATACAAAAAAATAAAAATAAAAATTCAGTATATTTTTTGTATTTTTGTATGTTTATTATTTTTTTAAAATATTTTTTCACAAATATTTTACTTTTTAGATACATCTAAGTAAGGTGTATTATGTCTTATTCACCAAAAAAAAAAAAAGTAAGGTGTATTTAAAAAAGTAAAAAAAAAATGCTTAAAATTTTAAAAATATTCACTAAAAACAAAAAAAAATACGAAAAATAAAAATTCAATTTTCAAAAAAATTGAATTAAAAAAATTGAAACCAAACACACTGAAAGATTTTATTTTTAGCAATACACACCCGTTAAATAGATGTTGGGCGCCTTATACTTGGACTAGGGGTGAGTAGTGGATATACCGATCTGCCCAAACCAATCGAACTGAACCGATCCACCGGATTTTGGACGGATGCGTGATGACGAGCAGACGGTTGCGGATTGATTTGTTCCAATCCTTCTAGTTTTGGATGGATGACGGATTTGAGATTCCTTTGGCCGCAACCGAACCACCAAACCACGAGCATCCTTAGTAATTTGTAAGACTTTGTGTTTTCAATTTGTTTAGAAATTTTATTTATGTTTTCAATTGAAAAAGAGTTTAAATATTATGTTGAATATATTCTGCTGAAAAAAGAGTTTTTAACTCGAATATATTTTTTGAATTGAAAAAAAATAAATGTATTATTTATCTATATTTTTTGGCTTTTGAATGTAACTCTAAAAATAATAAATAAAAAAGATGATATATGTTGGTTTGTTTTTATTTTCAAAAACAGATATAGATGTAACAATGCAGAGGTATACAATCTCTACTATTGCTTTGTTTATGGTTTTGGTAGTTTGAATTGTTTTTATATTTTAAGAATCATAAATTGTAATACTTTATGTGGATGAGACATGCAATAATGTAATATTCTAAAGTTTCAAACTTTTTTTCTTTGGATGAAGTATGCAGTGATTGTAATTCTTTTTTAAGTCATTGATTGTAATATATATATATTTTTTGTGAAGAAGTGCACAAGTTGAATTATGTTGAAAATTTATAAAATTTTAAACTGCCAAATCGATTCGTATCCATCCGCCAATCTGCTCAATCCACATCCACCGAATTGGCAGACGGATACGAATTGATTTTCTCTAATCTGCCTATTTAGTGGACAGATGGAAAATTGGAGGTTCCGTGGCCACAACCAACCCGCGCCCACCCCCAACTTGTACCATTAGATTTAAAAATAATAATAAAATGATAAAAAAAACTTTAAATATTCTAATAATAAAAAATGGATTACCCACTGAGCCGATTTCTTCTGCAATTTATTATTATTATTTGTTTGTCATAATCCATTAGTTAATGGACTAGTAGTATATTATCTCTTATTTTATTTTAACAATCAATTAGTTTATGGATTAGAGTGAGCATTGACAAGTGCCACTTAATTTCTTGGAAATCGATTTTTGTTATGAAAATGAGATTATATTTCATGATAATCAAATTGTATGGATTCGATCTGATGACTTGTAAAAGAAGATGAGACGAGTCTTTAGGGTATTGGTATAGTGCCGGCCAAAGATCCTTTGATGTCTTTGTTAGACGTCTATATTTAGAGAGTGGAGATGGAGAGCTTAAGACTGTGTTTGGTAGAGTTTTGGAAACTTAATTCTACACATTGGTTTGAGTGTGTTGTTTGGTTGCAATTTTCAAACATTGATTTCATACTCACTTTTGAAAACATGTCTACCTGGTCATCCTCCCAGATGTCCCCCAAGACGTCTGGCCGGTTGACCGGAACAGTATTTTTTTTTGGCACCTGTTTTTTTTATATTTTAAAATATATATAGTTTCGGATTTTTTTTTAAATTTTTTTATGAGCTTTGAATAGAATTTTGAGTTGTTTATTTGGTTATGAGTTGTAAGTTTTTCAATAAAATATCATATGTTGCATCAAAAATTTTAAATTTAATTCAAAACTCTTTTCAAAACTCATGACTAAACAAATTTTTCACACTTAAATCATAATTCTAAAACTCACAAACTCAAAATACAATTTTATTCTCAAATCATAATTCTAAAACTCTACCAAAAGCTACTTAAGATTTGTCAATATAATAATTTTTTATAGAGGGTCATTGTCTCGAGTTATATATATATATATATATCAATGATCAACTCATCACAGTGGTGCCCAAAGACTTTTTACACATTTGATAGTCATGGTTATGACAAATGTGGTTCTAGCTATGATTTAAAGTGGCCATGTTATAATAAATGTGGTATTAGTTATATTCAAAGTGATGTAGTTACAAAGTAAATTGGCGTTGGTTATATAATAAGACGTTAGTCTAGAGGTTAAATTTCTATGTTCATATTCTATTAAAAGTAATGGTAGGAGGAACCACATTCTAGAATTAAAATTTAAACATCTAAGAGGTAAGAACTCAAATTATATTAAATTTGATGAAAAAACAAAGTAACGGTAGGCGTATAAAATTATCTATGACGCACAAATACTTCAAATAGGAAGACATGCTCATATCGTATCCGTATCGGATACCGATACTCCTCGGATACTTACGGATACGTATCGGATACTTATTAAAAGTATCGGATACTTCTTAATTAATTTTTCATTAATTTTGAAGTATCAGATACTTAGTTGTGAAGTATCGGATGCTTCAAGTCACATATTATCAGATACTTCTTAATTGATTTTGAAGTATCAAATACTCCAAGT